AACAAATCTGATGGTTTTCCAATACGGGAACAAACAACATACAATTTTCCATGTGAGAAACATGGGTTTTCTAAATTAATACCACAAACACTTAATGATATCATAAACGCATTGCAAACGCATTGGGATGCATGGTGCGAGTACATCTTCTGCTTTATACTATCTTTTGAATATAGTTGATCAACATTTCGCAACATTATAATTGCCGATCCAACCTTTAATTGAAGATTGTGAGGTGACAATCTTAGCAAATCCAGCGAGTTTAAAAACTCCGGTGGATCGTCTTGGTTAGTTGCCGAATCAACTGATTCGCCTATAATTTGTTCTTGAATTTTGAAATTTAATTAATTTACATCAATGTTTTTGGCTGCCAATATAGCTTGATTAATAGAAAGATATTTCTATGTTTATACAAATATATTCAAAATTAGATTATCAAAAACTACACAAAATGTCATGACATAGCATAGATCATTGTTTTTTTACAAATTGCGTTGCCTACTTGATTGAAGAAGAAAAGAGCTGTTTTTAGGGTTTTCCCGGCAATTATTCGTTTTTTTTCTCGACGTAACAACCATCCTTGGACTTCAACGAACATTTTAAAAAAAGAATTGGCCAAATTGGTCCAGGCGTTGTTGAGTTATGCGCTTACCAACACATTTTGTGATCCATTTTTATATATAAGATTATCTCCAAGCAGGATAGCGACAATAAACCCTCATCCCTTATTATATAATTTAAAACGATAAAATAATCCCTTTCATTGTTACGCATCCTGTCCCAAAATCGGTCATCATATCAGTAATCCATTTTTCCTAGAATTTTTATCACCTGTCTCTAACTATATCATCCTATCATCCTTATATTTCCAAGAAATTCGCACTACCTGTACCCAGTTTAAATTCTCCGTATTATGCAATCACCAACCAATACCTGATCGGTTGATAAATTTATTAACCACTGATTGGTTCCAAAATTGTAATGGGGTGTCCTTAATTCCTCAAAATGGGCCAATCAGAAAAATATATAAAATTATAAAATCTATATAATTTAGTATCAACTTAAATTTCACATAGCTAAGATCAGTCGTAAATTAACACTCAAATCTATAACATCTAATTCAAACCTCAACTATCTAATCATCTATAAGTCTTAATATTCTTTAAATATACAATAATTAAACACTTATTTATCATCTTTTAGTTTTATTATTCAATCGGTCTGATATAGCCAACAACTAAATATATCTGGTCCTTCGACAAAGTGCAAGTGTCAATAGAGTTCGGTAGCATCTCGTCGATCACGGATTTCTTAAACACTTTGAACCTATCTCAACAAATACTTTTTTGGCCATTCAAACCGAATGGTCAATTTAATAAACACACACTTAACCATTCATATACCATTTTATTCGTTATTTTATTCTGCATCTTTTGTACGAACAAAGTTTTTTCGTATCTTTTACGGTTTAGATGTTATAGAGCAATATGTGTAGTTGTTAACTTGTCAAAATGCAAAGTGCGGCTAGGTTGGAGCAACATTCCTCACGATTCGATATTTCTGTAAAGAAAACATATAAAGTATTATACATCGTTAGAAAGGTCTCAAAATTCTTAGTTTTTTTTTTCCATATATCGCAACTTCGAATTCCGAACGGTGTGGCCTACAGGCGAGTTGCTGTCGTAAAATTTCAGGAAAATCGGAAAATCTCGAGAAAATTATATGAACACACTTAACCATTCATATACCATTTTATTCGTTATCTTATTCTGCATCTTTCGTACGAACAAAGTTTTTTCGTATCTTTTACTGTTTAAGAGAAAATCGAGGAAAACTGATGTAAACATTTATTGTAAAATTAGAAAATTTAAACAAATAATTATGCTATTATATATATAGCACCCTGGTTGATCCTGCCAGTAGTATATGCTTGTCTCAAAGATTAAGCCATGCATGTCTCAGTGCAAGCCACATTAAGTTGAAACCGCGAATGGCTCATTACATCAGTTATGGTTCCTTAGATCGTACCCACATTACTTGGATAACTGTGGTAATTCTAGAGCTAATACATGCAAATAGAGTTCCGACCAGAGGTGGAAGGAATGCTTTTATTAGATCAAAACCAATCGGTGGCGGGCTTGCCTTGCTCACCGTTTGACTTGGTGACTCTGAATAACTTTGTGCTGATCGCACGGTCTAGTACCGGCGACGCATCTTTCAAATGTCTGCCTTATCAACTGTCGATGGTAGTTTCTGCGACTACCATGGTTGTTACGGGCAACGGGGAATCAGGGTTCGATTCCGGAGAGGGAGCCTGAGAAACGGCTACCACATCCAAGGAAGGCAGCAGGCGCGCAAATTACCCACTCCCGGCACGGGGAGGTAGTGACAAAAAATAACGATACGGGACTCATCCGAGGCCCCGTAATCGGAATGAGTACACTTTAAATCCTTTAACGAGGATCTATTAGAGGGCCAGTCTGGTGCCAGCAGCCGCGATAATTCCAGCTCTAATAGTTGAATCTGTGTCCCACACTGTCGGTTCACCGCTCGCGGTGTTCAACTGGCATGCCTGTGGGACGTCCTCCCAGTGGGCTTAGCCCGTCAAAAGGCGGCCCAACTCAAAATCCTACCACGGTGCTCTTCACCGAGTGTCGAGGTGGGCCGGTACGTTTACTTTGAACAAATTAGAGTGCTTAGAGCAGGTTCATTCGCCTGAATATTGTGTGCATGGAATAATGGAATAGGACCTCGGTTCTATTTTGTTGGTTTTCGGAATTCCGAGGTAATGATTAATAGGGACAACTGGGGGCATTCGTATCGCGACGTTAGAGGTGAAATTCTTGGATCGTCGCAAGACGGACAAAAGCGAAAGCATTTGTCAAATGTGTTTTCATCAATCAAGAACGAAAGTTAGAGGTTCGAAGGCGATCAGATACCGCCCTAGTTCTAACCAGCTAGCGATCCGCCGAAGTTCCTCCGATGACTCGGCGGGCAGCTTCCGGGAAACCAAAGCTTTTGGGTTCCGGGAGAAGTATAGTTGCAAAGCTAAAACTTAAAGGAATTGACGGAAGGGCACTACAAGGAGTGGAGCCTGCGGTTTAATTTGACTCAACACGGGAAACCTCACCAGGTCCAGACACCGGAAGGATTGACAGTTTGAGAGCTCTTTCTTGATTCGGTGGGTAGTGGTGCATGGCCGTTCTTAGTTGGTGGAGTGATTTGTCTGGTTAATTCTGATAACGAACGAGACTCTAGCCTGCTAAATAGACGTACTTTCTGGTATCGCAAAGACCCCCCGCTTCGTTGGTTGTGGTTCTCACTACCGGCGTACAAATATATCTTCTTAGAGGGCAGGTTTTCCTTGGCCGAAAGGTCCGGGTAATCCGTTGAAGCCTCTTCGTGCTAGGGATTGGGGCTTGCAATTCTTCCCCATGAACGAGGAATTCCTAATAAGCGCGAGTCATAAGCTTGCGTTGATTATGTCCCTGCCCTTTGTACACACCGCCCGTCGCTACTACCGATTGAATTATTTAGTGAGGTCTTCGGACCGGTGCGCGGCAGCGTTTCGACATTGCCGATGTTGCTGGGAAGATAACCAAACTTGATTATTTAGAGGAAGTAAAAGTCGTAACAAGGTTTCCGTAAATGAACCTGCGGAAGGATCATTAACTTACATTTACTATTAAGTGCCCAGTAAACACTACATGTTGCCGTAATGAAACTTGTTAGTTACAAAGTTATATAACAAATGTTAACTAAATGTAATATAACCGCAATGTAACTTTTAGTTGCAAAGTTATATAACAAATGTTAACTAAGTGTAATGTACGCGCAATGTAACTTTTAGTTGCAAAGTTATATAACAAATGTTAACTAAGTGTAATGTACGTGCAATGTATATCGATAGTTGCAAAGTTATATAACAAATGTTAACTAAGTGTAATGTACGCGCAATGTTTATCGATAGTTGCAAAGTTACATAACGAATGTTAACTATGTGCAATATACGCGCAATGTATATCGGGAGTTACAAAGTTATATACATTTGTTACCTAATGTAATAAATGTGCAATGTTTTGTTAGAAAATATTTTTCACAACTTTTTTAATGAAAAATCGATTGATCTAATTTTTAAATTCTGTAGTGTCAGTTATAGAGCACGGATATATATATATATATATATATATATATATATATATATATTATATCAATATTCATCAAAACTTTTGAAGAAAAATGTTTTTGATGAGATGAAATATCGAAGCGCGTAAGCGCCGCGTCGCTGTGTAACAAACAAACGATGTTACGGAACCCATAGAAACGTTACGCAAACGTAAACAAAATTGATACATATTATTAAAATCTCCATGGCCGATTGGCGTATAATAAATAAATAAATAAATAAATGAATAAAATATCTGATAATAATCATGCACGACCGCCTAATGGATTTTTTTTTTTTTATTTTTTTTACTAGATCTCTGTAACCGCTAGTGCTGCCTTCCCAAAAATTTAATAATGGTTTTTGAATTATTAAATTCGGACGCTCCGTTCTCTTAAAAACTGGGTTACCGATTTTGGAACTTTTTGCCCCGTATCTTCGGAACGGCTAGACCTGCCTCTGCCAAACACTAATCAGCACGCCTCTTTATCAATACGAATCGAATGTTGTTCCCGAAATCGTCGATAAAATTTTCATTCTCGATTTTTTTGCGACTACTATAACTTACTACGGGAAGTTACAGTAAAAATTTTAAAATTTCAAATGAAATAAATTGCATTTCTTTAACAAAAACAGAATTTTAACTTCTTCAATTACTTAAAACAAACTAATTTTTTCAAAAAATTTAAAAACTTAGAAGTTTTTACAAAAATTTCAAAAAGTATATTAAAATTTTTGAATTCGATTAAACGTTTTGAACGTTTAACGGTTGTCTTCCTTTTTCGGCAGAGGGACTCAGACTCAGGCGTCAGGTTTCCCAGAGTGCATTGCAGCCTGTCGCCTGAACGCCATTTTATACTGTGTCATATGCGGGGTTGTTTTGTTGAGTTGTTTTGTCTTGTTTTATTTTAAATATTTTGTAATATTGAGTTCTACGTGTAAAAATAAAAATGCAAAAATATATAGTATACATATGGCGTAAACTTTACATATCTGCTTATGTGTTATTTGTTCAGCAACGTCGAAATCGAAAGAGTATAAGAAATAACCTCAAAATAAATTCTAAGAAGTACTGTTTGATATAATATTATGAAGGGTAAGTATAATTTATTTGTTGGTTACTGTGCAAAAGCCTAATTATTTTTATAAGGCCCGCGTTTGGAGATGTCTCAAAAAAACTAGAGCTTATTATTTGGATATGAAAATTTAGTTTTGGACAATGCTACAAGATACTAAAGGTAAATAGCTGTTTAAATTTCTAATGGCTTTTGAGGTTTATATTTTATTATTGTAATAATTTATTTTTAGGATTGGATTCTAAGTCTCGGTTTGAATCCTAAATTGCCTCGAATGACATATGTGTATAATATGAAAGAATATCGAGAGGCTTTTAACAGCAAAACAAGGAATAAATGAAAGGTATATATCATAGTTCTTGTTAACTAATTACTATTATAAATTCTGTTTTAACCTTTCTCATTTGTTTTTAAGGTGGAATAGTACATACTGAATGGGCTACAATGGAATTAAGACAAATTGTGAATATTGAGAATGAAGATGTTGGAAGTATCTCGATAAAAAAAATTATCAAAGCTTAATAATGCTCAACTATAATTCTAATAGTTGTATTGTTTGTCTGCAAAAAAATATAATTGTATTTGAAAATTGTCATCCTAATTTGGAATTATGTAATAAAGTTTCTGTATATTAGTGTGCCGAGATAGCTTGATTAGCTTTAATAGTTGGACCAAAACTAGATATTTTTATTTCCATCTTTTATTAATTAATATCATTTAAAAATATTTGAAAAAGTTGAGTTTCATTTGAAAATATGAAATTAATAATTGTAATGAATATAAATTTTATATTTTTGTTATTGTTTTCGAAAAATATTTGTTACTGTTTATTATAACATATTTAATACTGTTATTTTTAACATTTAAAATATTCTAGTTTATTATGTTATTTTTTTCGTTTAATAGGTTACTAGTTTGTTTTTCATTGTGTATATAACGAAAAATAAATGTAATTGATATAAATTTTATGTATCGTCTAAAATATTTGTTGCTGTATTGTTTATTATATTGTTTTTTTTATTACTGCCTTGTTATGAGGTTTGTTATTGCTTTATAAATTTTGTTACTGTTCTATATAGTATAAAATATTTGTTGCTATTTTCTTTATTATAATGTTATTCTTTTTATAAAATATTTGTTACTGTTCTGTTTAGTATGAAATATTTGTTGCTATTTTGTTTAGTATAAAATACTTATTACTGTTCTGTTTAGTGTAAAATATTTGTTGCTATTTGTTTGTTATAAAATACTTATTACTGTTTTGTTTAGTTCAAAATATTTGTTGCTATTTGTTTGTTATAAAAACTGTTTTGTTTAGTACAAAATATTTTATAACAAACAATAGCAACAGATATTTGTTGCTATTTGTTTGTTATAAAATACTTATTACTGTTTTGTTTAGTTCAAAATATTTGTTGCTATTTGTTTTTTATAAAATATTTGTTACTGTTTTGTTTAGTACAAAATATTTGTTGCTATTTGTTATAAAATATTTGTTGCTATTTTGTTTACTATGAAATATTTGTTACTGTTCTATTTAGTATAAAATATTTGTTGCTACTTTGTTTATTGTAAAATATTAATTTTAAATAATAAATACAATGAAATATGAGTAAATCTTTTTTTTTTTATAGAAAATCACTTATTTTCGCATAAATTAAAAGCATTGCAAAAAGTGCTGATTCATATCGCATAGGTACATTACCGTAAGTTACCGCAACTTCACAATGTAACGCATATCTATATTGCATATGTATGTTACCGTAAGTTACCGCAACTTCACAATGTAACGCACATGATGCAGAAATAGTTACCTTCAGGCAATGCATTTGATAAGGTTGCCGCAATGTAACAGGTAACAGATGTTATATAACTGCAATCTAACGGCAATGTAAAATTGTTTAGGGGGTGAATGAAACGTGTGCTATATGTCGCAATATACTGTTGCAGACTAAATGTTGTGCGCTCCCATAGTATGATATACTGTGGGCAAAAGCCTCTGGCAATGATCATTCGTTTTATTAACGTTTGACCGGAGCTAGTCGCAAAATATTGCGCAGTGTGCAAAAGCAGCATGACGCGGTTTACAATTGCTTAGCGCTCTTGTGCATTTTGTGAGAGCACTGCCATGTATATCTGCTCGGTATCGTCAGATGCCTGAGCGAATGACGAAGTTCGTTGTGAAAACGGCGTTATTTTTGAATATTATACTCTAAACGCATAGCTCAATCAATTCTTTGGGCGCTAGACGAACGTCTAGTGTTTCAAAATCGATTGTAGTAAACGCTTGCGTTAGTATTCTATATACGCTGCACATTTTACTCAAATTGTGCGAATTTGAACATTCGCTTCATTGCGTTGTTTTAAGAAAATGAAAGATCAGCGAAAGCAGATTTTTCAATCTCACACACAGTGAAATATTCATATTTCAATTTTGAAACGAGATCTTGTATCTCGGAACGAAAAGCGAAAGCTTTACGGTGTACTAATTGTAACCATAGTAAACATACTAGTTTCAGAATCGCACGAGTTATCTTAAACGATTTCGAGGGAATCACGATCGAAACATGTATAAATATATATAAAATCACCCTGAACGGTGGATCACTTGGCTCGTGGGTCGATGAAGAACGCAGCTAATTGCGCGTCGACATGTGAACTGCAGGATACATGAACATTGACATTTCGAACGCACATTGCGGTCCTCGGATACTGTTCCCGGACCACCTCTGGCTGAGAGTCGTATAACATTACCAGACTACCGCTTGCTCTTAAATAATTCACTCAACGTGTGAGCCAGTCTACTTTGCAACATCGGACATTACCGTTCGTTGACGTTCTGTAGGATTACGGCGGGTTGTGTGTCCTAGAAATTTTATATTCTTGCGACCCTCCCGATAACCGGAAACCCGAACTCTTCGAAATTCGTTTTCGTTCCGGCAAAGGTGGATGATTCAAAGGTTTCTCGTCGATTTTGTGTGCTCTTGCTTACTAACGTTTGCAAGCACATCATAATCATAATACGACCTCAATGCGGTGGAAAAGAAACTAACTAGGATTCCCTTAGTAGCGGCGAGCGAACAGGGAAGAGCCCAGCACTAAATCCCGCGGCCGGAGACGGACGCTGGGAAATGTAGTGTTAGGGAGGATCCGAATATCTCGGTGCGTTGCGGCGAGTTCAAGTCCATCTTGAATGGGGCCATTTACCCATAGAGGGTGCCAGGCCCGTAGCGACCGTTGCGCTTATCGAGAGGATCACTCCTCAGAGTCGAGTTGCTTGAGAGTGCAGCTCTAAGTGGGTGGTAAACTCCATCTAAGGCTAAATATGACCACGAGACCGATAGAGAACAAGTACCGTGAGGGAAAGTTGAAAAGAACTTTGAAGAGAGAGTTCAAGAGTACGTGAAACCGTTCAGGGGTAAACCTGAGAAACCCGAAAGATCGAAAGGAGAGATTCAATGTTATCGTTGTCTTCCATTTATTGGCGTGCGATTGACCGGGATTCGTCCTGCGATACGTCGTCGGTTTATGCGTTAGGCGGCGATGGCATGCAGTTCTCTCTCAGTAGGATGTCGCGACCCGTTTGGTGTCGATCTACGACCGCGGCGGTAGCCTGTCACGAATTTATTCGCGTCAGACCCCGCGTGCTCCGGTCGACTGCCAGACGGTATAAATGATATGGTATAGGGTCGCTTCTAAGCGTTCGGCCGGTTGCAAGCACGGACGGTTATTGGTCGTCGGACCTGGTCCGGCATCGATGTCGCCTCGAGCTGTTAGCTGCCGTGTCCTCGGACGGACTCTATTACCGGTAAGCGATGCTATTGCTTTGGATACTTTCAGGACCCGTCTTGAAACACGGATCAAGGAGTCTAGCATGTGCGCGAGTCATTGGGAAATACAAAACCTAAAGGCGCAATGAACGTAAAGGTTTGCTTAAGTAAACTGAGGGATGACGGACCGCATCTACGGATGCGTGCTTGCAATCCCAAGGCGTCTCACTCTCATTGCTAGAAGATACGCACTCAGAGCGTACACGCTAGAACCCGAAAGATGGTGAACTATGCCCGGTCAGGTCGAAGTCAGGGGAAACCCTAATGGAGGACCGTAGCGATTCTGACGTGCAAATCTATCGTCGGAACTGGGTATAGGTGCAAAAGACTAATCTAACCATCTAGTAGCTGGTTCCCTCCGAAGTTTCCCTCAGGATAGCTGGCATTCGATGAGCGAGTCTCATCTGGTAAAGCGAATGATTAGAGACCTTGGGGCCGAAACGACCTCAACCTATTCTCAAATTTTAAATGGGTGAGATCTCTGGCTTGCTTGAATAGTGAAGCCAGAGATTTGGATCGGAGTACCTAGTGGGCCACTTTTGGTAAGCAGAACTGGCGCTGTGGGATGAACCAAACGCCGAGTTAAGGCACCTAAACGACGCTAATGGGATACCATGAAAGGCGTTGGTTGCTTAAGACAGCAGGACGGTGGCCATGGAAGTTGGAATCCGCTAAGGAGTGTGTAACAACTCACCTGCCAAAGCAACTAACCCTGAAAATGGATGGCGCTGAAGCGTCGTGCCTATACTCGGCCGCCAGGGCATGAGAAACGTTCATAATAGTTTGTTTTGACGCCCTGGTGAGTAGGAGGGTCGCGGTGGTGTGCGTAGAAGGGTTTGGACGTAAGCCTGCCTGGAGCCGCCATCGGTTCAGATCTTGGTGGTAGTAGCAAATACTCCAGTGAGGCCCTGGAGGACTGACGTGGAGAAGGGTTTCGTGTGAACAGCCGTTGCACACGAGTCAGTCGATCCTAAGCCCCAGGAGAAATCCTATGTTGATGTTGGTGTATTTTATTTTGAATAAAATTGCCGGGCCTGGGCGAGGTGAAATTGTCCGCGGATCTTTCTTGCTGCGAGGTTTCTGTGCCGGATTCGGTCGGTCAGTCGTACTCTTCGGCCGCCATTCAGCGATCAGCTCAGAACTGGCACGGACTAGGAAAATCGGACTGTCTAATTAAAACAAAGCATTGCGATGGTCCTAGCGGGTGTTGACGCAATGTGATTTCTGCCCAGTGCTCTGAATGTCAACGTGAAGAAATTCAAGCAAACGCGGGTAAACGGCGGAAGTAACTATGACTCTCTTAACTGACTTTTAAAGGTCAGAGACGCTCCCCAAAATACAAGAGCCAAGTTGCCAAATTCCTCCAGGAGCTAAGCGAGGATAACAGTAATGGTGAAAGCTCTGAAACAGTGCCCGATAATATAAAATACGATTTAAAAGCTGTCTTGATAAAGGCAGTTGTAACATATGATTCATTTAATGGCGTGCAGTTAGCTGATATCTGCCACTCAGCCGGAGAACTTTCACCTGGCGAATTGGTCAATAGAGTTACAAAATATCTACATGATACCTTTACCAGCAACAACAAAACAGTAAACACAAAAAGTAATAATAATAATAAAAATAAAATTAAACACATAGAAAGCAGAAATATGAGACAAATGAGGAGATTTCAATATACACAAACACAAAAACATTGGGTCAAAAACTCCTCCAAATGTATACATTATATCCTAGACAATAAAACTGTCTCTAACGCTCCGCCACCAGATATCATGGCGCAATACTAGACTAATGTTTTTACAAAAGATTCTGGTAAGACACCTGGCTGTCAAA